CTCAGAAAAAAATGGCCTTTAAAATGATGTATCATTTACCATAGGCTTCCATTAAAACTTTTTACTGCATCCTCCACAGGACGTTCCCTATAAGTGGTAAAAATTTTCATAAGGCACCAACAGATAGGTAAAACCATAGTATATCCTTTCACAAAATATCATTTGTTTTTCTTTAACCACTCACCAGATAAAATGTTGGTTCCAGACATTTTCAACACCCTGTATATATATATATATGAATTTGAACGGATGGTGTTTTTGGCCTCTAGGGACCTCAAAACGAAAAAAAATCTGTCCCTCGTCCAGGTCTTACCATGAGTACTACGGTAATAGCTTATTCCCTATATGGGAAATTCGCTAATACAAGCTACAACTTTTCAGAAATTTTTAAACGGTTTATATTTTATAAACATACTAGCAGAGTACCCGTCCTTCGTACGGGGTTGGCATTTAAGTATCAAATGCTTATAGCAGTTATGAGTGAGGACATGGTTTAAGAAATTTCGGTTCTTTTTGAAGTTCGTTCGCTACGCTCACTCACCTTTAGGTTGGAGCTCGTTCGCTGCGCTCACTTTCCTTCAGGTTAGCTCGTTCGCTACGCTCACTTGCCTTCAGGTTAGCTCGTTCGCTACGCTCACTCGCCTCCAGGTTGAAGTTCGTTCGCTACGCTCACTCACCTTTTGCTGTTGTCATAAATGTAAAAGAAATAATAGTGCTAGTGCTGAACCCTGTTGGTAATCCTTGTAACTTTTAATGCTATTGAACATCATAGAACAGAACCAACTTGTTTAATTGAAACAGCTGTTAAGATTCATTAATTCCATTTCTCATAAGGTTAACATGGGAAACTCCAGAGCCACTGGGGCGGAGCCCCGAAGGATTTTTTGGGATAAAAATATGCCTATATGTTAATCGGGAATGTGAGCTATCATCATGCCAAATTTCAGCCCGATCCGACCAGTAGTTTTTGAGATTAGCTCATACAAACACACACACAGACACCACCTCTTCTTTATAATAGTATAGATAGATGGATTAAGGATTTTTTTAAAACTGAAATGGTTTTTTGGTATCCTAATTTAAAGATTATATTTTAAAACGATTCAGTTTATTTCAGAACGGACCCACTTTTTTTTAGAAATTGTGATTGTTTTTCTATGGGCTGTTTAACATAATGAAATTTGAAAACAAGAAAAAACACATGCAATTTTAGACTAAAATTTAAATGACATTTAGAATCTGAAACGAATTGGATGACAGGAACACCTATGTCTGTGACAGTCGCTAGTCATTTAAACTTTGTAAATGAATAGAAACTCGGATGAATATTCAAAGTTAAAATAGAATGAGTACGTATGATGCATTTGTATTATTTTATCTGGGGTTTAAATTTTAAGGTACTTAGAAACCTCGTATTGAAATATGGCGTATTACGTTTTACTAATTATGGTTTCTTAGTGTCAAACTTAAAAAATACTTTCCATAGATACCAATTTAGTGAGATTGAGAAACAATTCCATTCGTGAAGGATCCACTGAACAAAAAACACGAACATAAAACAAAGGATGGTTTTATGTTTTGGGATCATGTTTAGGTGAAAGCAAAGTTGGGTCACATACACACCTCTACGTGACAGATTTGTAAAACAAGACATATAATGCAGGGTGCTAGGCTCATGTTTAGGATATTAGTCAAAGCCCAGTTGGGACACATATAACCTCTACGTGACAGATTGTGTAAACAATACATGTTTAGGACATTAGTCAAAGCCCAGTTGGGACACATACAACCTCTACGTGATAGATTGTTTAAACAATACACATGATGCAGGATGGCACACTCAGGTTTAGGACATTAGTCAAAGCCCAGTTGGGACACATACAACCTCTACGTGACAGATTGTTTAAACAATACACATGATGCGGGATGGCACACTCAGGTTTAGGACATTAGTCAAAGCCCAGTTGGGACACATACAACCTCTACGTGATAGATTGTTTAAACAATACACATGATGCAGGATGGCACACTCAGGTTTAGGACATTAGTCAAAGCACAGTTGGGACACATACAAACTTCTACGTGACAGATTTGTAAAATAAGACACATAATGCAGGGTGCTAGGCTCAGGTTTAGGATATTAGTCAAAGCACAGTTGGGACACATACAAACTTCTACGTGACAGATTTGTAAAATAAGACACATAATGCAGGGTGCTAGGCTCAGGTTTAGGATATTAGTCAAAGCACAGTTGGGACACATACAAACTTCTACGTGACAGATTTGTTAAACAATACAAATGATGCATTGTTCTAGGCTCAGGTTTAGGATATTAGTCAAAGCACAGTTGGGACACATACAAACTTCTACGTGACAGATTTGTTAAACAATACATATGATGCAGGGTGCTAGGCTCAGGTTTAGGATATTAGTAAAAGCACAGTTGGGACAAACACAAACTTCTACGAGACAGATTTGTTAAACAATCATGTGATGCAGGGTGCTAGGATCAGGTTTAGGATATTAGTCAAAGCACAGTTGGGACAAACACAAACTTCTACGTGACATATTTGTCAAACAATACATGTGATGCATTGTTCTAGGCTCAGGTTTAGGCTATTAGTCAAAGCACAGTTGGGACAAACACAAACTTCTACGTGACAGATTTGTTAAACAATACAAATGATGCATTGTTCTAGGCTCAGGTTTAGGATATTAGTCAAAGTAAGGTTGGGACAAACACAAACTTCCACGTGACAGATTTGTTAAACAATACAAATGATGCATTGTTCTAGGCTCAGGTTTAGGATATTAGTCAAAGCACAGTTGGGACACATACAAACTTCTACGTGACAGATTTGTTAAACAATACATATGATGCAGGGTGCTAGGCTCAGGTTTAGCATATGTTGCAGGATGGTAGGCTCAGGGTTAGGACAATACAAGTTTAGCTCGGTGGTTCTGTTTAGTTACATTTATTTGTTATAGTTTATTTATAGTATTCCTACAGTCATTTGAAGATTAAAGCCTGTTCAAACTGTTCATACATTACACATGAAACTAATTTGATTAAAAGATTACAACTTTGAAATTACACCTATTCTGTATCCCTTTCAATAAAAATGATTTACCTAATACTAATTGACTTATTACTGTTGTAATTACTTTACAACAACAACAAAAAACTGTTTAATTTCAAGCATACTGTATTTTTTAAGTTTTTCGCCTTTTTTAAAACCTTAACGAAATACTAGTTATATTATACGTCCATCAAATTAGAGAAAATGTTTTTTTATGTTTAGCTGTACAGCCTATTGCACTTACATTCTCTTCTGAATTATTTTTGATCAGAAACCATCGGTTTTACCATAGATAAAACATACAGTCTATGTTATTACTTTATATAGTAGGTATATGGTCGTTGTTTTAAACTAGGAAATTATTCTAATATTGTCATTCATCATAATAATTTTGATATTTCATTTAGAGTAATTTTATTGAGATTCTAATCAGATAAGTGACTAGATACCATTGTTATATGTACAACCTCAGAGTAATATTAATCTGAGGTACAGCAGACACAAAGACTTACAGACTACACACGGTCATGTTCCCCTCTTTTACAAAGAGAGGTCTGCAAGGAGCTTCATACTCAGCATTGACTGCACTGAGGAATAGTGTTTTGAGTTATGAGCTTCACACTTGGCGGTTGAAGTCTAGCAGTGGGTGACAACACCAAGCCTCTTGGCGTCATTATTGGTAGAAATTTCAGTTTTTCATATCAAGTCACGCATATTTTTGAACGTGCAATAAGGGGACCTAGAGTAATGGTTTAGAGGTATGATGCCTGTGACTGCAACGATTCAACTAATGCAGCCACCGATACTGTCAGAATGTTTCCACTGTATTCCTGGATGTGGCAAGAGTACCATTAGGGAAACATGTACCAGGTACAGCGGATTCAAAATTCCGCTATTCAATTATCATGAACTATCATATCTGCCACAAAGAATGTATCATAACTCGTCCTAGTCTGTGAAGCGGTCCGCCTGCTGACCAAAGTTTTTTTTTAATATTCTGCATGCTACGGAAATGTTGTGTCGTGGCATGCAGTATGGAACACATCCACACTCACTAAGAGAACAATTTACTATCATTTATTTAAATCTGTGTATAAGTAAAGCTTATAATCAATTGAGATTGTACTAGAGTTACAAGTTTCTAGTACTGTAAATACTGTATATTTAAACATACAAAGCATATGTTAATAAACAATACTTATCTATGTCACACAAAAGAAATCTAAAATAAGAGATAAACTATGCTGTATGGGTCTATAAATGACAAAAAGCTACAGTGTTTTGATCGTTTAAATAACTAAATAAATTCAGGCATATGCGATATCATGGATAGCGTTACCTCATTGTTCGCTAGAGTACATGAGCTACCACGTTTACTCTTAGTGTGATAATGAAAGATATTTCTAACTAATTAAACAGTTCATACATCAAAATGCATATGATCGTGATATTAGACCGAAAGGTGGAATGACATGATGTATTGTATTTAACGCTCTCCTATAGATTACAACTTTTAATTTAGATAATATTTATACAACTAACTCTATTACCAAATAGACTGTTCTGAATCATGCAACACTAAAACTTGTATTTATCACCTAAACTAATAACTTTGAAATCATTGATATTAAATCAAATTTGGATAAGTAGTATTTTGTAATATAAATTTAAAACGAACATAAATAAACGTTTTATGATTATAGTTTTTCACACCACTTTATGGAGTATGGTTAACGCAGAATAATTTATTTTTGATAGCTCAAGTATGCAAACTGGGTCTGAGGGATTTGGTGATTCAACTACCAAGGAAATTGCATTCCGTTATCAGGGTTTTTGGGAAAAATATTTAACTACGAAATCAGTTACGATAATTTATATCACATTGACAGTTTTTTTTTTTTTTTTTTTTTTTTAGTTTATTTGGCCAAAATGAGTCCCGTGTACTATGGTAGTTCTTCTACTTTCAACTCCTTTCCACTGATCCAATCATTTTGACACCTGACTCTCATAGGAGTGCTTCGCCACATGTGATATAATGTGTCCCCAATTATCTTGGGACGAGTGAATTTTATTTCCCTCGAGAAACAATCTCCACTTTTTTTAAACACAATTCTTAATATGGAGGCCTTACTGCTTTCTCTCAATTCTCCGATGTATATCCCCTCAACTCCAGTTGTACAAGAGTCTAAAAACAACCTGTCTATGACTAGATAGTCATGCATGATAAGTCCTGATGCCATAGTGGATGCTTTGATCGCGTCTTGCTTCCTTTCCATGGTGTATTCTTGGCACTTGAGCTTGAAACCTTGGACAGCAAAGGTTGAAACTATTGGGTCACTGCGAGGAGAACCTTTGATATAATCCATAATTTCATAAAATCCCTCCTTTGTTAGAACATCTATATAACAAAACATCTATAATAAAATAATTATTTTAAGTAAGTATAAAGCAAAATAAAACGCATTTAATTTGGTATAGTTTCACAATTTCTTACTCATGCGTTTTAGGTTTTCAAGTAGCTTTTTTATTCCCTGGGGAGAAAAATTGTGTCTGAAATCGATGACAGTAGTTTATATTCTTCTTACATATAAAATTTGATTTCATGTAATTATTCCAGGAAACGAAGACAAAATAAATGGTATCAGCAATCTGATCATACTTTCTACCATAAGCTTGTCAACAACCTTTATCATGTTTAAGCAAGGAGAGTAACTATAATTAATGGGTAAAATCAAAAAAGTTGCATTAACTTTTGAACCGTAATTTCTACATGAATGGGGGTCGCACTGTTTTGTTTAGAATTATAAGGACCATAACTGATGAGTTTCAATCGGAATAGGTTTTTTTTAAAAATCCAAGTTTCCGTTTTTAATGGGGTTCTATTGGAAAATAAAATAAGTTACAATAATTTGAACCGTATTTTGTACAGCAATAGTGGGGGGGGGGGGGGGGGTTGCTCAATTTTGTTAAGAATAATTATCTGGTCAATCACATACTAATTTAAATCAAAACAGTTTCTTACAAAAAATAATTTTAATTTTTTTTGTTTTTTATGGGAAAATAACATTATTTACAATAACCTTTGAACCCTTTTGAAAAAAAAATGCCTGGAGATACCATGGATTAGTACCTACAAACCAAATTTCATCAACATTGGATAACAGGACATGTAGTCTGTAGCTCTGTACACATCCACACTCACACACACACGCACACACACACACACACACACAGACATCACTTCGAAAACCACTTTTTTGGGTTCAGAGGGCCCCAAAATGGATATATATCTACTCAAAACTCAAACTCGAAAACTTTGACGAAAACGATACTTTCTCCATATACTATACTATGTATAGGGGGAGAAAGTAAAAGGGAACTTCAGAGTCCCCTACCATCACCCTCTACCCTCTCTGGTCGGTACTTTTAGTATGTTGTTTTAGGACCCCGTGACGGTGGGACGAAACTACTGTTGGTATCGGATAGCTAACTAATTTGACTAAGTCTAGTGTTAGTAGTAATAATAATATTTATTGATAAGTAATAATTAGGTTAAATATTCGGGCTCGGATGTGGTCGTCAAGCAACACAACAATATCATTTTCTGATCTCGCAATATTTTAACCATTGGGGCCTACAACCCCTCTCTTATAACTGAACAAAATTTGGCTTATACATGCGTTGTTTCCCTATTTGGGCTTTTACTTTTTCCACTACACCAAACTATATGGAGAAAGTATTATTTTCGTCAAAATTTTCGAGTTTGAGTATTGAGTAGATATATCCGTTTTGGGTCCCTCTGGACCCAATAAATTGGTTTTCGAAGTGATGTCTGTGTGTGTGTGTCTGAATTTGTACAAAGCTACAAACCACACCTGTAGTCCGATTTTGATGAAATTTGGTATGTAGGTACTAATCCATGGTATCTCCAGGCGTTTTTTAATTTATTTGAAATTTTGGTTTTTAATGTTGTTTTTTCCATAAAAACCCATAAAATAACGGAAAATGCAGCGCTTCCTAAGGGTAAAGGGACAGCGATACAAAAATGTCAATCAATCAATCAAAATAACTTAATTTATATTGCACATTATGTACAAAATGGTGTCAGTTATTGTCATAACCAGAACGAATATATAAAACCTAAGATTATTTTACTGATAATATTGTTATCTATATCCATTATTAATCTAATGGTGTATGTCTATATGTGTGTTACTCAATATCGTAAAAACTACTATACCGACTGCGTTTAGATTTTACAATAATATAGCTGCCATACGAAGAATGGTAATAGGACTATTCACACTTCGATACTGACCGTAGGCTTTGCCCTTTTGCCTTTAAAAGTTTCGAGGTGAGGATTTTAAAAGTAAATATTCATTGGTCTCCATGTCTGCAATGAGAATACTCACAATGTTTACATTTCCTTTTGACATTTCAATGTAAACAAGGAGAACTGCCAAATTAGTTAATTCACAATTTCAGACAGAGCCGATCCAAAGCAATTAAATATTTTTATTTTATTTTTTATTTTAAACACATTTTACACAACTATGTGGTACGTTATAATCCAAAACTATACATGGGTTATATATTCTAAAACTATGTCAATGACTACAGAAATAACAAAACATATTCTATAACTCTTGCTGTATCAACCCAGGCTCTGCTTTCGATTGTTTAAAGTTTCTAGATTATGAAAATAATGTTATTGATATATTTTCATGGAATAGGTATGAAAATTACAATATTTGAGATGTTTTGTATGAATTTGGAGGCTTTTAAATTCGGATTGCTTAACATGTGTTGGATTAACTTAACATGACTTGCACTTCACATTGACTTTTTTACATTTTGGTAAATTTAGTAATTGTGTTTTGCTACACCTATGCTTAAATTAAACTAAAGAATTTCATAAATAACTAAATTGTACGCCATTGATTTTGTGTTCTGAAATATGTGGTATATGTGTAACAATATTTAATTATTAAATGGTAAGACACAATAATCTTATTTTATCTTAGCATAGCTTGAAATTCACATTTACTTTATTGCATTTCGATGAATTTATTATTTGTGTTTTGCTACACCGCTGATTAAATTAAATCAAGGAAAATATCATAAAACTAAACTGTACACGATGTTCTTTTGATTCTAAAATCAATGAAATATCTGTTACTATGTTTACTCAATCAATGGTAAGTGTGAAAATGTAAAGGCAATGGACTATGGAACAACAATACAACAAAATATGTCAAGGAGTTTTGACATATTGAATCATCAAATTTTTTTACAAAGGTCTCTTTGTGAGATGTATAATGTTAACACGTTTAAATAATTTTAAATGCGTTTTTAAATATGATAAAAAAAGTTAAATTTTTATAGTGTCCGGTAAGGTATTAAATAGTTTTAACAACACAAAAGATGGGATTTTCTCGATAACCGATGAATTATGTCTGTTGAACGCAAATTCACTACCTTTCCTTGTGGAATATTGATGATGTTATCTATTCAATACCCCCGCCGCAGCAAACCTGCAGACTGCCTGATTTGATTTTCAATTAAATCTATTCAAATAACATTAGGTTTAACGAGTACCTAGGTTTGCTGCCTACAGGGAGGTTAATAAAATGTGTTTTTTAGTAAAATATTAATAGATTGGTATAAAATAAATAGATTTGCCAGGTTTGATCCAAATATATCCATAAACAAACAAACTACAACAGTTTACTTATTCTCCATAAGAATAACATGAGAATTTTTAATTTACAATTTTCTCCGTAACCAATAATCATACAGAAACATTTCAATATACTAAATTGTTTTTTTACGCTCTACAAAATGGTCTAGAGAAAATTTGGGAAATTTTTAGTATTGAGAGACAAAAACCACAAAAACCAATTCTTACCCCAAAAATCCCCCCATAAAACCCCGTTTCCATGGTCCGATCATGCTGGCTCGTGAACTCGTTCGAATAAACGTAGGTTTACACGTTTGTACCAAATTTCATCGAAATCGGATCATTATTGCTCGAGTTATCGTGCTAACGGACACACACACATATACATATTTGAATTTGAACGGATGGTGTTTTTGGCTTCTAGGGACATCAAAATTAAAAAGTAAATCGGCCCCGGGTCCAAGTCTTACCATGAGACCTACGGTAATAGCTTATTCTCTATATGGAAAATTCGCTAAAAAGTCAGGTTGGATGGTATCAAAAACATGGTGGGAGCCATTCGCTATGAAAAGCATTAACATACCAAAGGGGTTGATAAACATAGAATATGAATTTAAAAAACTGTTGTTTAAAGTATATAATTCAAGTTTGACTAATTTTTAAAAAAAATATTCTTTGGAAATACTTACTAATAACACCAGCAGCCTCTCCTTTTGCAAAATCCTGAAAAATATAAGTGAAGCTCAGATAAAAAATTTTGTTCTAAGGTATTATGTCTATAGTAATGTCTAATGTTTAAAGGACTATTATAATGTATAAACAAAGTTGTCCACAGATAAATCTGCCATGTGAAATTCCATGTCCATCCTCTTTTTAAATTTTCCCTTCTTTCTACGTGGGTATCGGCATGGATCTAATTAACTGTGTCCGACAATTTCTCAAATTTAAAGATACACCTGAAATTGTGAGTAAGACTAGTCATTGACTTTCAGTGGATAAATTTAGAATTATAATAGGCAAATACAGTTTTGTGAAAGTTAACAAATTTTAAATACTAGAGGCTGTCAAGTGGTCGAAAACTTGACCAAAAATATGCATTGTGCAAACTTTCCTATTATTTTCACCCCTCGCTGTAAATAAAACATGTGACTGGTAGTTCGTCCATTTGTTTTGATTTTCTGTATATATTTCGATGTTGTTTCGTCATCAGCATGGCAACCCATAAGGTACATGTTAACTTTTTAAAATTTTAAATATTTTTTTTGTGCTTAATTGTGAACCCATTATAATTTATCAAGGGAGTCTGTTCATCTACAGAAAAATTTCTTTATAACGGGATGTGTAGATTTTCCCTGTGATGCAAACGAGCTGATAAAAAGGGTTTTTTTAAGAAACATGCCTACTTATTTATATATAGGATTAACCTGAAAGTAAAATTCTTTTGGTTCTTTTGGCCAGCAAACTTTATTGTAATAGCGAAAAATCTACTTTATGACAAACCCTTGACGGTATGAATATTTTATTAAATCTAGTCAACTCTGAATTTATTCTCCTCAACTAGAAGGCTTCGTTTAGCTTTATTTTGTAAAATGATATATATTTTCAACCTACCGTCACGGAATCTTCTTTACATTTTATTTTAAGCACTTTATCTCTTCCCAAAAGGGCAACGTAAAAAAGGTAGTTAATCACGTAACTTCTTATGAAGCAATGTTGTTCCTCATGAGACTGGTACATCAAGCTAAATTCCAACACATCATATTTGTTTTTGAAAGTCTTAATTTCGGGTTCCTTCCCATCGAGAGATATGTAATCTTTTACTCGTTTGCAAACGTCTTCACTGTTTCTCAGCGTCAATTTATCTACCAAGATTCCTTCTTGGCTGTATAAAAACACTTCAGGTCTTTTTTCATCTTCTACGCATTCAACAAACAAATGTTTACTTGCGTCTTTCGTCAATTGTATTGTGAATTGCGTTGAATATTCCCTTGAATCCACTGGCTTTATAGACATCGTTGTGTCTTGAACCATACCCGTAAACAATTCGTCATGTTGAGAGTAGAATAGTACTGAAACAGAAATATGTGGCTTTAATGACGATGAATTCTGATATCATTATCAAACTGCACCAGTTTTAACGTTGTTAAGCGATACTCAGAGACCTGTTAATTATTCCAAAGACTTGCTCATACAACATATTTATTCAAATAATTCCAATTAAGTCACAGAGATTTTTATTTTTATTTTATCGGAATGCTTTTTGTACCAAGGACATTTTTAAAAGCTCTTATCAAATAAGCAACTTTGTTTGGATTCATTATCCTGTTATTTTAAGAAGATGTTTGGTTTTTAAGCGAGTGAAAAGTTAAATAAATACATATATATAAGTAGATATATTCATGTCACTTCTGGGCCAAAAAAGGAGCCACTCAAAAATTAAATGAATTTTCCTATTTTTTTATACAATATGCTATATTTTTTACCCTTTTAGGTCAATTTCTAACATATTCATATTTTTCTAGAAAAAGTATATAATTTTGATGAAATTTTCATGAATATGTCTATATTTTACATAAAATTGACTACAAACTGAAATGTTTTTAAAAACAAGTAAAATTTTAAAATTTTTTATTCAAATATTCTAAATATTTTATTTAAATTATTGTTTTTGTAAATAATATTTTTCCTATTTGAGTTATTCAAAATTTATTAAAAGTATTGAATTTCTCAGAAAATTCTAATGATATTTGATGTATTACAAGTCCATATTTCATTTTAAATAATTTTAAACTTAAACATGAAATGTTATCAAAAATGATAATCTTAAGATAAGAAGATAAGTATTGATTTAAATTAAAAATAAATGTCACCAATGAAAAGCTTGTTAAAAATTAGTGCTATTTCATATATTATACATTTCTGTATGATTAAAGATAATGTAAAAATCAACAAAAACAAATTGTGTTGTAAATATAATCTTATTGAAGGAATATTAGTCTATGGCCTAATTTGTTTGGTCGATCTTTTTATGAAAATAAGTGATTGAATAAAATAATAACCAGTTGAATGTTAGTAAATTGCAGTGTGGATTAAAATAATTATTTTGATTTATCGAAACTAATCGAAAAGTATTTTATAATTAATGCTTAAAATGTATAATCAATGGTTAAATAGTTAGCTAATGAAACTAGCCGATTGAACAAAAAAAAGTGTCAAGTTAGCAAAACTCTCGTCATTAGCTATCATAATGGGTGTGGCTCTGTCGACTGGCTGATTTTCTATGTATATTCTCATTTTGTTTTATGGAGAAATATTTAAAATAAGAGTTTATTGATGGTAAAAGTTTATTATTTATTGATTGAAGATGAAGTATAAAGAAGATTAACTATGAAAATTGTGAAACTATCGTGTTGTGAAGTGAAATGTGTTTGAAGTGTTCATCACCATATTTGGATTGTTCAAGTGTTTTTAACTAATATTTTAATAAGTAAAAGTGATTTATTGAACTATTTATAGACTATTTTTATTGTTTGTAATCATAACTTGTTTATAAAACAATCAGAATTTTCAAGGTCAAGTGATTGCTGCTTTGTTTGATAGTTTTTTGCCAAACCATATGACATTCAAGGACAGTGTGCTTCTAAAGCACGCTTTGATAAATCTGAATTGTACAGTAAATATTTTGTGTAGAAAAATTTAAGTGACTGTGCTGTTTTATTTGACAGTTTTTTTTTGCCAAACCAAATGATGTTCAACGAAAGCGTGCATTGAATGCACGCTTTGATAAATCTGAAATGTTCAGTAAATATTATTTGTTTATGTTTGTGTGAGTTATTTTGAATTCCTATTCAGTAATTTAACTGTTAATATCGAATGTTTCAACTTATTATTCGATTGTTAGTATCGAATGAAATTATTTGAAATATATTGTATGTTATAACTTGAGTGTTTTTAAACCAATCTTAACCAAATTTGAAACATACACTCATTGAATATTAAAGAATGTTTTTGACTTATGTTAAGGGTAGTTTCATCCCTTATTTTGTATTTTATTTATAAAAATGTAAAAAATTATTGAATAATTCTAAAAGTTAAAAATTATGAAAAATTATGTTTAAAATCAATGTTTTTACTAAAATTTTCCAATTTAGGGTGAACTACCCTTAAACTAAAAACCTTAATAACTTTTTTGTTTTTAAAGATATTTTCATGAAATTTGGTATGATATATCTATAAGGTAAGTATAAATTTATTAAATAATAAAATTTAAAATATTCATTTCTTGTGACCTTGAAAATCAAAAATTTTTATTTATTAATATTTTTTTATGAAACAAATTTTAAATTAACAATAGTAGTCTCATTATTCATAAAATATAATAATATTTTGAAAAATATGTCAAAAAGTAGTAAATAAATGGTGGTTTTATAATAATTTTATTTGATTTCAGTTATATCATTTTTAATTACACTATACTCTAATAATCTTTCAGACACAACAACTACATAGCAATTAGTTTTACTAGCAACAGTTATATCATAATCAAAATCCATATTTATTATTATATCATTTTTTGATCCTGAAATATTTACAGTAGTTTTTGTAGTATCAATCACATACAATGGTCTATTTTCAATGAATTCTGTTGGATCATAATACATTTCACTATTGTTATAATAAACCTTTTTATAATCTTGATACATTTGATATACAATTCTAAATTTTCCATTATTTATATCTAGATTTATTAAATCATCAGGATAATAGTGACCATTTAATTTTACTCTAATATTTTTAATATACATACTATCAAATTTTGAAGTGTCATATAATTGATCATTAGTTCTACCTTTTTGAAAACCAATTATTATAAATTTTGGATTATAGATGTTTCGATAAATATTTGTTATATCAAAACTAACTGTTTTTCCAGTTATTGTCTTTTGTTCAATACATTGCCAATGATTAAAGTGAAATAGTATTTTTTCTTTTTTAGTTATTTCATTAATATATTGATTTTTACTTGTAGTTTTATACTCAATTATTGAAACTCTAATAAAAAAGTCATCAATAATTATTTTTCCAGTACTTGGTAATGTAGTATCATCAAAAGTTCCATCAACTTTTTTAGTTTTCCATCTAAAAATAGCATCATTATCTTCAGATCTAACAAAACATATATTGAATCCTCCTTTGTATATTGGAACATTAACATTTTCAAAGAAACCTAATCCAAAATGTGATAGATTACCCACAGCTTCAAATGTTTTTTTGAAATCTGATTGAAATCCATTACAAATGTTGGATACTGCTTCTGTTTTTGAATAAGTAACAGTACCTTTTATTGTACTCAATTGTCCAGGATGTTCAATTTCCTCAATTAATTTATTATGTTTTCTAATTTCAATTTTTGAAAATAAGAATGGTATAAAATTATTAATCAACTTTACATTATCTGTAGCACTATAGTCTTTATCATCAGATTTTTTTAATGATCCTGAAATATAAAATTGAAACTTAGATGAACAAAATCCATCACCAAAATCAATATTAAATTCAGTTTTTTTGTTTGGTTCATTCAAATGTAGTTTAGATAAAGGATAAAAATTTTTATATTCAGCTCTTTCAATTTCATAAGTATTAGCCATTTATTAAGGAAAAATTTATGAAAAAATATGGAAAGAAAAAGGTTTTTTAAAACAAGTAAAATTTTATTAATTTTGAATTTTAATCAACTGAAATCTATTTAATCAACTGAAAAATGTTTAATCAACAGTATCATAATCATTTTTATCTTTAAAATATTGAATTTCTTTAACATTATCAACAATAAATTTAGCAGATAAGTTTTGGTTTTCAATAAGTAATTCCCAATCCAACATATATTTGTATTCTTCAATAAAGTTTTGAGATAATGTTTGGTATTTACAAATCAAATCAATATGATCTTTTAACTGATAATTTATGTATTCAGTAATAATCTTTTCATTCAAAATTTGATATTTAGCAATTTTTTCCCAATTCAATTTATTTTGAAACAATCTAATCATCTCATCATTCAATTCATATTTTTCTGAAATAATATGCCAATCTTCATTGGTTAATAGAAATTGGTTTCTGATAATGAAATAATCAAATGAATTATATAGAGCCATTTATTAGGAGGAAATTTTTGTAAAACTACTTTTCTTTGAATTACATATACAACATTTTGCTTTAACCATATTTTTATTTTTTAATTTTATTGTTTGAATGTCTTTAGAATTGGTTTTTTGTTTACATTTAAGACAGTAAGTAAACTCCATTTATATAGTAAAAATTATTGATCTTCTTGGTTTTCTGTATTAAGTTTATCTTCTAATATTTGTGCTAATCCAGCAGTTACTAATCTTATTTTTTCAGCAAGTTTATCTTCAAGTTGTTTTTCTAAATCTTCAACATACATTTTTAGATTAAATAATGAATTAACCAATTCATTTAAATCCTGTTTAGTTTTTGAATGATCATTACCAACCTTAATAATAGAATTTAAAACTTCATTTAACTCAGATTTTATGACAACATCATAGTCGTTAATGCTTGGTTTTACATTAACAATCCTTCTAGAATTAATACTTAAATAATTTTTGGATAGACTAATAGCATTAACCAAATTATTAGTTTTCTTAATATGGTTTTTTAAATCCTTATTAATATCATTAAAAATGGAATTTAATTTTGAATTAATATAATCATTTTTTACTTCAATTAAATCTTTTTTCTGTCTACCAAATAGATCAAATATATTTAATGAATCCATATTTATTAAGAATTAATTTATTGATTATGTTATCAAATCTTATATTTTTATTCAACTCATTTAATACAAAAACACACAAATGACCACATATAGGTGGATCATTATAATTTTGAATTTGTGAATCATTAAAAAATATATTGTCTTTTCCTAAATATTTAACAATTTCCTTAAAAGGTTTATTAACAATTTTTCCATAAGAATCAAAGTAATATTTAATTTTATCTTTTTTATAATAACATATCCAATGAGTTCCATTACCAGAAAAAGAAT